ACACTGATCTCTCTCCGCACTTTTCTCGCTGCCGGTGACGGAAAATTGATCCAATTACGGCGAAAGTTAAGAATTCGAGAGGAGAAACAATCTCGGGCAAAAAGGCGGGGAGACGCGCAGACAAGCAGGAGAAATCACTGAAGCAAGCGAGCCACAGAGCGAGGGAGCAGAAGTGACAAAAAAAAAAGGCACTGGGAAAGCTCTGTGAAGAGAGGAGGATGTTTGAGAAGCAAAGAGGGAGTGGGAGGGCGGCTGTAATTATCCTCTCTGTCTGCCACTGATGTAACACTGCTTATTCCGCTGCCTTTTGTTTCATAGCGGCTGCTAATCTGCATCTTTGTTTATCTGGGTTATAAGCAAGGTCGTCTCTCCAGTCCTCATTCGGCTGAACTCATTGTTCAGTCACATTCACCGAGCGTGCTCCCCACTCAACACTCAAGCACAAGAGATGTGTGCGTGTGTGTGTGTGTGTGTGTGTGTGTGTGTGTGCGTGCGTGTGGCACATCCTGCTCTCGTACTTACACACAGGTCAAAGAAACGCAGGCAGACAAACACAAAGCTGTGCGCCTTTTCTATTGTGGCAAATGTGAAATGACTAAAAATGATACCCACCCAGGTTTTAGTCGCTGCAGAAGAAAGAGACGGCAGGGAAAGCATAATTATTATTATTATTATTATTATTATTATTATTATTTTTGTTTGTGCTGCTGTGATTCCTCCGGGGAGCTGCTCACACAGATTATTGCTATAAAGTGACATTTCAATGGTTTCTAATGTGACGCCTGGTGTGTGATGAGCTGCAACAAGCTTGACCGATATCATGCGCATCTTGTACATTGCCTTGCAACTCTTTCCATTTTAGTAAGTATCTTTTCTTTTCGCCCCATATTTCTTGGAAGAATGCAACTTAGATTGCATGCAGATGATCATAAAATGCTGCATTGCATGATTCCAAACATACTCGGCCAGTCCTTCAAATAGAATATAAAACCAAAATCAAAATCATTTAAAAAAGGTAATCCATTTCTCTAACTTGATTCAAAACATGAAACTCATATTATATGAACTCCTTAGATGCAAAATGAAGTAGTGTAGGAATTGGCTTATGTTAATTTTGATTATTGCAGCTTATAATTTATGAAGACCCTAAATTCTTTTTCTCAGAAAATTTTAATTTTACATAAGACTCCCCGCGGACGTTTAGAGACATTTACAGATTCTGAAAGTGTGAAGTCTTAGCTTTGTAATCATTTCAAACACATAGAAAAAAAAACAATAATATGTGGCCGTTTGAATTTTGGCACTTTGCAAATTAGATTAATGAGAAAACAGGCCTCAAAGTTCCACCCGATGAGCTACTTGGGGGTGTTCACAAAGGCTGCTTTTGTGCAATAATGTGCAATAATCCCACCCTCCAGCATTGACTATCAACAAATACTGGAGAGGTGCGCAGACAAAAGTGATATTTGTCTGGCTCATCGAGTTGGAAATATATATTTTTAAAAGCTTTCCACTTTTGTTCCATTTTCCAAGGCTGTGAGCTTCTGTCTTGTTTTGCCTTTTGCCATGGTTTCGTCTGTGAACCCTGAACTTTCATCGACTTGACAGTTCCCCGCCAGACCGTCATTGAGACTATCAATAAAGATTAATGCTAAAGAAGAGGGCTATGTTCAAACCTATAACTGGGAAGTACACAAATTAAATTACTCGAGCCGTAGGGACAGCCACAGCCTCGAGACGACTGCGAAACAAAGTCCGTTCAACTCTTTTGGGGAAAATTCACAAGACTTGGACAGTTGCTGGAGTCAGAGAAATGACTCTACAACTTTCACTGAGTAAACCCACTCCTAGATAAAACACTTCTGAAACTATCAGAAGTGCCATATGGCTTGAGGAGAAAAAGAACTTGACTATTGTTCCTCCTTTTAGAAAACGGTAATCCAGAGTCTGGAGGAAAAGCGAAGGAGCCAGCGAATCCAAGCAGCTTGAGGTCTAGTGCCAGGTCGTCCTAGCGAGGGGCTATTTTGACTTGTTGTGCTTCCGGTGTGCTTGTTATATCGCTGAAAATACGTGCAAACAACGTCTAAATGGCTATGAGTCTTCTAGGTTTAAATTGGTATGCATTTGCTTTGAGAGCTTTCTCTGCAGGATTTTAGAAATGTATTAAAAGCCTAAACAAAAGCCTGTTTCACTTGATTTTGACAAGCATATTAAATACAGCAGAGTGAGCTGGACGAAAACCCAGAAACACTTAATTACTCACACATGGTCTCTTAAAGATGAGCTGTACAACTGCATAATTCATGGCGCACAAATAACACCAAGATACAGGGCTTTGAGTTCTATTGTCTCACTAGACAAATTTAATGACTATTCTATTTTAAATACAAATTAAACACCTCTCCTCGTCTGCCTCTGTGGCATTCTGTCAGTCCTCCGTCATCTGTGTGTTTTGAAAAAATAAATAAAAAATAAATAAATTAAAAAAACCTGCTGCTGTATGAAAGTATTCAGTTCTGTTAGAAATTACAAATTTGACTAAACACCTGACATTTTACCTCTATGGAAATAAACCGAACTTTGTGGAAGTATCAGCTAAAACGTGAAAACTGTTGTCTTTGTTGTCAAAACCATCCTAAGGCAGGTGACGTCTTCTTTTAATGCATTTACATGCATGTTTCCCTGCCACCAAAAGTACCGTTCCTCCTGCAGAAGCAAACACCTCTCTCTCTCCAGGAGAGCAGTGAAGCCTGCGAAAAACCGTTTAGGAAGAGTCAACAAAGAGTGTGAGGTGCACCGAGCCTCTAAATTCTCCAGATATCCATCGGGCCCAGATAATATCAGTGGAAAGCGAGCGCAATTTACAGAGACCCCATGACACAAGACACAGAGGCAAAAGGATTCACTGCAAAGATGCCGGTTGAATTCAGGGATTCCAGAAATCTTAGTGTACGCTTTGATCTCTCCAACACTGATACGGCAGATACAGACATGTACAACACTGCTGACATCTCTATGGGTAAATAAAGGCATAAAATAACACCATATTTAATTGGAATAATTTGCTCTCACAAAAATGTTGAAAAAAATCTAGGAAAAAAATCCTACAATACCAAAATCTTTGCTGGCAAATTTATTGGCACCAGCGACATCAATATTCATATTTCACACCAAACCCACCCTTAGTGTCTGTGGGTCAATCTTAGTTTTGCTTGACTTAAGAACACGATTCAAGTTAAAGTCTCAGTAGCATTTAACAGGCCTTATTAGCTTAAACTTGCTACGTATGAGCAGAAAATTGTTTTTCTTTTAATTCCTCCCAAACAACTGGACGCTGTGGCAATTTTCAAAAATGAAAGACTCTTTATATTTTGTTTACCATCCTGCTTGCTGTCTGTGCTAAAAGTTAAATGAGCTTTGACACATACCACATTCAAATTGAAGGGAAATTGAAAATTACCGATTACAAAAGCAGTAGTTTGTAGGAATTGTGACTAACTACAAAATGTCATTTTAAATAAATAAAATATGCGTAAGGTGCACTTATTTTAAAGGGATTGCTAAGCGTACAGATAATTTCACCTCAAGTGTTTTTGTTCAATTCTTTTTCTCACTACATTACTTAACTCAAAGTGAGAGTTTCATTTTTTTCCCCCTTAATTCTTCACTGTGAGATTATGCCTGATAGAAAAATAATTTTAGTTTTAGGTCTGTGACTGGTCTTTTATCTCTTCTCTTTTTTCTTTTTTCTCTCAACATGGCATCCAACAACATGGCACAAAAGCAAAACTAGAAGCAAAAAAAAATAGTTTTGAAAAGTAAAAGATAAAAAAATATATATGTTTTTAAATAATATCAAAGTGAGTTCAGTTATGGGAGGAATACCAAAGCCAAGCTTGATTCTGATGTTTGTGAAATGCAGAGCTCTTGTACAGATCAACTATTACCGCTTTCTTTTTTTTTTATTCAGTAGTCTCTTTTCTTTTTACTTGCTACAACGTTCCAAAAGGTTCGCAGAGAGCCTTTCAGAGCAATAGTAAGCTCAGACAAAGAACATGTTGAATGAATTTTGTTTTACTGAGTTATTATGTGGCAGGTAGCACAGGTCAGACACAGATGCTCTCACTACAGAGATGAATATCGTCGAGCATAGAGCCCTGCTATAATAGTTGCCATGGAAACTTTTAAACCATAATCTGCTATTGCTATCAAGATTACTTTGTACTGTAGATGGTAATATACCTTGTGTCTACGTGTAGTAAATCAAAACAAAGATTTTCCCACCGCAGAGAACGGCTCTAATAGCGCGTTGCAATCGGAAAGACAAATAAGGTCATTTTCTGTTTTAAATCATTATTGTCCTTAAATATAAAATCTAAACATGACATGGTTCTCTGTGTGTGCGTTTCACCCTTTTAGCTGGAAGCGGATCAATTAGTGTACTGTTAGCTAATCATGCTGCCTGTGGCTCTTCTGCTGTAAAATCAATAAGTGGCTGAAACCCTGTGTGCCGCCGAGCGAAACGCTGCAAACGGAAAACGCGTACATGAACATTTCTCTGGTTTCCCTCTCGTTCCATTCCTGTGCTCCCTGCCGTCTTTCTTTATCACTCAAACATTAACAAGCTGAACTGGATTTGGGTGGTTTTACAGTAAGAGACACTGTGACAAGCAAACAGACGGTTTAATAAACAGGGGAGGGGAGACCCAGGACAGTGATTTACCTCCCTGGCAGGTCTTTCCAGTGGTGGGTGACTGGAGAGGCACTCCACTGATTAATGCACTGCATGGTTGCAGTCAGTCACCAGTCTGAGGATACTTTTTTTTTTTTTTTTTTGACATGATAATCTGTTAATTTAATCACATAATCACTGCAGCAGTGTTGTCAAATACTTGCTAAAATAGCAATCATTGAGCCTTTATCCACATGAAGCCACTTGATTTCATTTCAAATTCAACTTTCCGCGATGAAGAATTCGACTGAACGATGTTTGGACTCACAGGGTGACTCGGTGTTCTCCAATACGTCTGGGTGGCTTTGTCGTACTGCTGCATCCGTTTGTCCATCTGTCTTTCGTTGTGCTGTAACGAAGCGGACGTCCTCCGATGGCGGCACCGACATCTAACTTGCTGACCTTCGTATGGCTAAAACGCAGGGAGGGAAATAGAGAAAGTTGTGCTCAATTTGTGACAGACTGGCTCAAGAAACATGAGACACTTTGGTGTATAGTAATAGACAAAGGCTCTGAATTATACAGACTGAAATATATAAACATGTCAATGTCATGTGGCAAGCGGCAGTGAGACCCCATGCTTTGTAGTTATAAGTGTGTACAGCCATGATTCTGGTAAAGTTTTTCAACATCCGTCTATCATCAAAACATAAAGTGGTTGACTTCCTGGTATGGTACGTACATTTTTTTTTTTTTTTACTAGTCTGACATCAAGGTTATTCCACACATCTTTATCATAAAAAACATTTCTTATATTTGTTTGGGGTTACTGTCTGTTGTGTCCAGATTGATCGATGTAGCAGTTGATTTGAGTTGAAGTTGAAAAATATTGAATTTCTTGATCTTGCTGATGCCACTGGTGCAGTTCTCTTAGATTTGAAAACCGCACATTGAATCCTACAAAAAACTTTTAAAAATACCCCTCCATCTTTCTCTCATCAGACCGTAAAGGCCTTGTTAGAAGGTGATGATTGGGTGCCCGTCTATGTCACGATTCACTAAAAGCTCCCGTCACAGTGGACAGCAGTTTTTGTTCCAGCATCTTGAAGTTCCTGATCAGCTTGAGCCACAGTGAGCTTTGGGTTGGTTCTCATCATTTAAGCTGATTTCCTTTCATCCGAGTGAAATGGTTTGGGTCAGATGGTTAAAAGTTTGACAGGTTTTTCAATAGAACAATAATCTCAAACTAGAAAATTCCTGAAGAAATTTAACCGGGGCCTGCCAACGTGTGCCCGTCGGTTTGGACCCAGCGTTCTGATGCTAAAAAAATTAGCATCAATGCTAAGCTTAACTAAAAAATTAAAAAGTAGCATGTGAAAAATCACAAGAATATTGACTAACATGGACTTGCACCATCTGGTATGTTAAAATTAATGCATAAGCTAAAATTAACCAAAATGCTAATGTTGGCCTAAATGCTGCCAGTAGCATGTGGAGCACCACTAGCATGTTTTAATTTCACTTGCTCCATTCAGTATACTAAATATGTCTAATTATTAAGAAAATTAGCTAATAGCTAATTTTAGGAAAAAGGCTAATGCTAATGAACTGCCTTGCTGCGCAAGTGCACTAGAGGGGGGGCAGTGAAATGCTAATGTTTGTGCTAATGTTAATGAACTGCCTTGCTACAGCCCTCCTCTGTAATAATTGAGTGCTCCACCATGTTGTAGTTCTGACCTTCTGCTCTGCCCTCTGTATTAAAAGTGTTCTGCCATGTTTAGAACTACAGAGTCTTTGTAGTCCAAACCAGCAGCTCTGCCTTCTCTGTATTCTGTTGCTATAGTGATTAATCCTCTGTTAACTGTCATGTGTGTGTGAGACAGAGAGGTGGAGAAAGATTCCTATCTTTATGAGACACCCAGTCAGTTTTGATGAAAAAAGCAGTCCAAACAACTGCTTCCCGTTCAGGATCCGTAAGGCCGATCTGAAAACCGTTTGAAGCGTATGAGAGGGCTATTTGTCATCTCCAATAGTCCCGCGATTCATATCTGTAGCTCACTCACAGAAATAGCAGCGATGAGAGAAAAATGGTGTGCGCTCAGTTCTGAAATTTTTCAGAAAAGTCTGAAAATGAATGGATGAGAGCCTGACACTGTCGCATGATTTCACTCTGAAGCACCTTGACAGAAAACTGTCAGCCCTAGAGAAATTTTCAAAACATTTTACAGGAGCAAGCATGCATATCAATGTCATGGCTGACTTTCATATCAATAGAGCAATTTTTGCAGCCATGAGAGCGATTTCAAAATTATTTTGGGGTCAAAAATCCACTCTGTTACTCACTCTAAAGGAGCGGCAGTTTGTGTCAGTTACACTCTGCTTTTCGGCAGTTGGAAATTTTGCTCGTTTTTCGCTTTTTACGTCGCCATCATAACTCTGATCCCCAATAAAAATGATATCTCCAATCTCTGCATCGAGCCGCGCGTTTTGATACCTTTTTTGTGAGTGTGCACGCAGCGGTACGAGCTGCATTAATGGTAATGGAAGAAGAAGTTATAACTAGAACATTTCTGATGAAATTTAAACGGGGCCTGCCNAGCAGAAGTGAAGTGTCTGTGGCTCAATCTGCACTCTTACCCATCCCCGTTGAGATCCAGCACAGTCAGATCGTATCCAAAGGAGGAAGCCAGGCCCTCGCCTTCAAGGCTGAACTCCTCTTGCATGTCTTTGCGCTCCTTAGAGCCTTTCTTTAGCAGAATCACCGCTCCACTGAAGTAAGCCCTGGGAGCTCCTGCCACCACCGTCAGCTGACCCTTGTTGGTCAAAGCTTTTCCAACGGCCATGGAGAAACCTAAAACAGAGTTCAACATAGTTAATAGTTAATAGTCAACATAGTTAACATAGTCACTAAAAAATGTGTAACTGGCATAATGATAAAACACAAGTATTTTACCCAAGTAGCTGTTGTCAGGAGTGGGGACCTGATTGGGATTTTTCGCCTCCTCACCTCCCGTTTCCAATGGCACCTCGTCAAATAAATCCAAGTCAAAAAGAGTGTCGTTCCTTTGCTCCATGTGCACCAAGCCTTAATTAAAAAAAAAAAGTACACCAAAGGAGAGAAGAGACAAGATTAGTTGATGTTTTACAAAAGTCTACTAAACTCTTAAGACTGCAGTGTATATCTTTTACAAAAAAAAATAGTTTCTTTTTACATATTTGTTAAAACCCCCATGATGTCGTGACACTATGGTATCAGATGAATAATCTGTGAAAAAGAATTTGCTCCTCTGCCTTTTCTCTGTACTCCCAGTACTAACTAACCAGAAACAACCAATCAGAAGCAGGACTATAGTCAATCAAGCTTGTGTACACACTGCTCACATCCCTCCCTTTTGCTCTCAGCTTCTTCCTGCTACAAATCCTTTTGTAAGGATAAGACTTTATTTGTCTCCATGGGAACTGGGAGCGGTGCATGTTGAGCCAAAAACATCTCCTTCCATCCTAGTTTTCCATTTTTACTGAAGCCCTTGCAGAAGCATTTTGTCAAAACATTCTTATGAAAGGAATGCCAATTAAATCAACAAAACAAAACAAAAATTTGTTTATATGCTGACAACATCCTGCTATTACTTAAGACCCGTGTTATTCAATGGCTGAAACAATCAAAATAATTAATCAAAAATACCTATTTAGTCCAAAACATAAGTTATAGGGAAGAGGAATCCTAACTGTTCAACTGCCCTGGTTCCTAAAGTAAGTATATAGGTAATTTTCACAGAAATAAAGTCACAACACTCCGTACAACAAAAAGCAAAGTTATACAAAGAATGAAAACGAGTATAAGAAGCACAATAAAAACAAAAGAGCTTTGAGTCGGTCTTTAAAAACTAACTAAAAAGCAAACTGTTTCAAAGTCTTGCAGCCCGTGGCAAGTTTAACCTAAACACGTTACCTTTCCAGTCGTAAGCTCCTGGAGCTCCAAAGATGAAGTAGCGGTGTTCCATGTCGAATGCGACAGAGACGCCCTGCTGGCAGGAACCAAACAGCTGATGGCCCGGGTTCCGACCTTTACAAAAATGCCAGTCACCTCCATCTCTCACTCCATCTTCTGGTGAGCTCTTCAGAGTTACATCTTGGCTTAGCACGTAGCAGCGGCCGAGGATGTTACGGGTTTGAGATTTCAACTCCTGGTACCGATGGGCGCACGTCTACCATGGACAGAGAAGGACATAATGACCGAGAGATTCTGACTGACACCTTGACCATAAATCTTTGGGGGGAAAAAAAAAATCAAAATGTCTTTTTGGAACGGCATTCTCACTATAATTTTGCCTCCTGGCCCTTGACTGTTGACTGACACCCCCATCCACTGATTTTCTTTTTTTTCGGTTGACACATTTTCTGTGAAAGAACAGACAAAAGTCGAAAGATAAACAACACAATAAAACTATTTTTTTTAAGTAAATAAAAAGGTTGAAACTGGAAAAATAGAAAAGCCAGTCAGAATATAAATTACCATCATTATCAAACATAACTCTTTGGCAATCACTGGGGTTTGGGCTGATTTCACACTTGTAGAGTCCTCCTGTCACCTTAGATTTCTGATTATTCAGCGCTTTCTCTTGCGGCGCTCCAACCAGCAGTCTGCAACAGAAGCACATGTATATCAAGGCACTTCTTTCACATAGCATCAACAAAATCTTAAGGTGTCTTTTTTCTTCTGTGATAACATTTCCAGCATCTAGGGAAGTTTTCTGAGGGCATTTTTTTGTTTGTTTTTCTGCTCCCAACATAAGGACCAAGCCCAGTCTAGCAAATTAAATGAGGTGCGACTTTTTTAAAAGTCAATCTCTGACAATGAATCAGATTGACCATTTCCTGATTCATCTACTAAAGAAAAAAAAAGTGAAGAGTTGCCTTTTGCCAGCAATCAAGTCTCTCTCTGCTACAGCAGAAAGATCCAGCAGTTGGATGTTTATTAAAAAAATCACGAGCTGAAAGAGAAGGACTGGAAGCACAGCAAACCTTTAGAAAACAGTTACAACTTTATGCAATTCTGTAGTAATGATACTGATTACAAATGCAATCCTGGGCATCGTCCCAAACATGATAACTCGGTTTTTCACCACAAAGAGTCAACAGTGCTAAAAAAATCTGATCCTCTGTTTTTAGAGGCAGAATCCTGGAGAATTTTATCTTTCATTTAAAAGGTAAAATTATCAAAACACTGGGAATGCAGAAACATAAAGATTGAGGTGAAGCACAGACAGAACAAATGAGATTTAATCTGAACTAAAAAGGCACTTCTGGAAAACCAACTAGAGAGGATTTAATGCATCGTGGAGGATGTGTATTTAAGATAAAGTGTCAGAACATTATCTTAACTGAGTCAGCTAAAGTTGGGTCAACATATTGCAAGCGCCAGCTTGGACAAAAACATATGAAGCATTAAATATATGAAGAATAATGGAAGAGACTGAAGCATCTGGAAAGTAGTAGTTCCCGAGCTGAAATAATATAATGATACAAAAACACAACAGGCATATATCACGATGAACATGATGTCAGTGCAAAGGCACTGAACAAGACTGTCCAAATAAAATACTGACTACAAACTAAATCTAACTAAAACTAAAATAACATAGCAGTGACTTGGCGAGAAAAACAAAACAATAAACTAAAATCCCAAGAGTCATGGAAATTCATGGCAGTGGCTTTATGAACTTTAACGAAGCACTGGGACTCGGTATTAATCAATGCATGTTCTTAAATGCCTGGTCAGAATGAAGGAACAAAAGAAATCCTGATTAGGACAGATGTTGTTCATTCAGTTTCTCTCTCAAATATACCTATTATATTCGCTTGCACAAGTTAGTGCATGCGCAACTAACTTTAGTATAAAATGTTAGTTTCTCCAAGTAAATTCTTGAATCACTTTTGCACTGACTGTTTGGTTTTTGTGGTTTACTTTTATTTGCTCCTCTTCCCATTTTTTTTTCCAAATTCCTTTCACTTTTTTCAGCAGCATCACTGACATTCATATTCTCGCACACTTCCCCTCCTAAATCTCTAAAACGTACATTCATTCCCACTATGAGCACCTTTTCAAGTTGGACCTCTCTTCCACGTTCTCGAGGAGACAGCCTCATCTTGCAGATGTGAGACCAAAACACAAGCAGACATTCACGGGTTCCCACCCACTCCTGTCGGTACAAGAACTAATGTCCCCTCAGGACATAAAAGTCTCTGGAACGCGTACGTCTGACTAAAGGTTGGCATGGACAGAATGAAAACCAGTGCTGTGACTCACTGTGCACACCCAGCTGTATCATCCAAACATGCCAGCAAACATGTTGGTGCAAAAACACCTCCGAGAACTCCGAGGACAAATTAATTACCTGCCTTTTCTTTTGCTTCGAGCTAAGCGTGCATCAAGCACCACGCTGACCTCTGGTGCTCTCCCAAGTGACGAAGGCTAATACCTCAATGCTTTGCTGGTGTTTGCCTTACTACCAATGAAAGACTCCGGGAACACTTTAATAACCTTCAGGTTTTTGTTAATCAAATGCAAATAAGCACACAACAGTAAGCAGTAGCACCTTTGGGCAAAACAAAGGAAAGGAAGTCGTCACTCAAGAAGTTACTTGCCCTATCACAGCTGCTCTGCTTCAGAGGTGCAAATCTAAAACTTTACTACATTATCAAATTAAGAGGAAAAAAAAAACTTGATCTGGTTCCCAAACTCTTTACCTGCAAGTCAACAATGGCAGAGATGCATAACCCTAACAAATACATGCAAGTATTCATGTAGGTAGCCATTCCATCGAGCCAACTAAATGACAGCATAGTAAAAAAGACGACTTGTAAACCACCAGATTATGAATGAAGTCGTCATAATGTGGCCATTTTCAAATTTATCTAAGGTTCTGAGAGCTAAACAACTCCTAATTGGTGTTTCCTGGCCCACTTCTGGGCTCTAACCCCCGGTTTATTTTAGCTTTTCAAGCACACTATTGACATGATTGCAAGCTGCCTTCATGTGGCATGAAAAAGAAAAACATTTTCTTCTGATCTCACCTGAAGACAACCTAAAAAGAAAGAAGAAGAGCGCAAAACAACTGCAAGTCTAAAAATTTGTAACCTGGAAAGAAAGTGACACAAGCAAATACAGTTGATGCAAAAAACCTAAGACTTAGACTTAGACTTGAAGAATACAGAAATAAATTCCTTTCCACATATAAGTTTCCTCTAAACTCATGCTTTGGTTCTTACATTCTCTTGTCCTGTGGTCTAAGCTGTTGGTGCATTGCGAGAGAAAAGCCGAACAGGCTCCCCGGGCTTCCATCTCTCTGCAGGACATTTTCCGTGTCCAGATTGAATGCAGAGAGTCGCCTACATCCTAGTAACAAGATGAACAGAAACAGCCCGCTGTTGGTGCAGCCCTCCATTAGAGTGTAAATCTTCCCTGAAGAGGCAAAAAGGTGAGTCTTTGGGGAGGAAGGTGCAGAGTGCAATACAAGAGACACCGGATGAGAGTTAAATGCCATTTCATGTTCTGCTCCTCCCTCCCGTCCTTCACCACACCTTAAATGCTTTATACCTAACTCACAGTCGCACTTACAATTCTGTAACCTCAGGGTGTTTTTTTTAATGCACCAACTTGCAGCTGTTTTCAATGAACAAAAAAAAATTCAATAGTCTAGCACAACTAATATTAGAAGTAGCTTCTCTAAATTCAACAGAAAATTCATCTTTATATGATTACTGCAAGCTCTACATTTTTAATTCCTATGTGAAGGTATCTTCAATTCTTAATGAATCACTATTAACTGCTATATATGTCTGCAAATGTGACTTGTAACCAGACACCAGCTGGTTCCTAATGAATCTTTATCCACTCTTTATGAGTAAATATCTCTGTTTACTTCATATTATCAGGGCTGAGCGCTGCAGCTTCAGAATTAGCACCATCTGATGGAGCTTGTTTCACTGAATGAGCAAAAACAAATATATTAAATAGCCAAATATTCATAATTATTTACTAAATATACTAAGCTTTTGAAATAGTCAAAAATCTGAATGCAAATGATTTGACTGCACTGCTAAATATGTTATTGGATTTTTATTTCCTTTTCATTTATGTTTGATGATTACTGGCGTTGCATAAGTTTAATGTCTTTTAGTGATGTTTTCTTTAAAGTCATCATTTTAAATAAATTAATTAAAATTGAAATCTTGATGGGTCTTTCCTGTTTAAGTAGTGCAATAACAATAACAACAACTAGAACATTTCTGAAGAAATTTAAATGGGGCCTGCCAAAGTGTGCCTGTCTGATGCTACAAATTAGCATCAATGATAAAGTAAGCTGTAATGTACTCAATAGCATGTGGAGAGTCACAAACATGTTGAGTAAGATGGACTTACTCCATTTTGTATGTTAAAATTAGCGTACAAGTTAAAATGAGCCAAATTGCTAACATTAGCCTAAATGCTGTCACTAGCATGTTGTTTTACATTTCCTTCCTCCATTCAGTATACTAAGTGTGACTAATAACAAAATAGATAAAAGCTATTTTTAGGGAAAAGGCTAATGCTAATGGGGAGCAGTGAAATGCTCATGTTTGTGCTAATGTTAATACACTGCCTTGCTGCACAAGGCAGTGTATTAACCGACAAAAGAGATGCCATTTCTATCATGAATATAGATTAGCCAAAAACCCTATAAATTACAATGAAATACTGCTACTTCCGCTAGCCGCCAGAAGTAAGACCCACAATCGTTTCCCCAGTCAGCCTCTCAGGAAGGTGGATAGAATGTTCAGTTCCAATGGTATCCAATGGTATACGTTCTCCACGAACATGCTGTGCGCAAACGGAGAAGGGTGGCCATTGTCCGGCCACGCCCCGGCCCAGTCGACGAAAGCTCTCCTCGCCGACCGGAGTCGGACTGTTTTGTTGATATTCACTTTAGTGCAGCTCCATCTAGTGGATGCATAAGGTAACTCCAGCCTCTACTGTAGCGTCTATTCTATGCGCCATATAATGCGGTGCCCCTTATATATGGAAAAGTTTTAAAATAGGCCATTCATTGAAGGTGCACCTTATAATCCAGTGCGCCTTATAGTGCGGAAAATACAGTAATTTGCAGTGAGAACTTGGAAATTGTGGTTATTATTATTGTCTTTACTATTATTATTGTTGTTCCATTATCAAAACAAAGCTCTATACCAAGTGTGCTAAGGTCCTGTCTTCAATTTATTATCGTTCAACTTCTAGATGCATCTCTGCACCAACACACCTGAATCAAATAGCTACATTCCTTCATCAGAAACCATCCTGCTCTGCAGGGGCCTGATAATGAGCCATCCAGGTGTGGTGGAGAAGGGATGCATCTAATAGTTACTGGACAGTAGCTCTCAACGATTAGATCCCTGATCAAAACGTGTATTTGTTTTATAGAGAAGTGGAAAAAAGTGGCCGTATTACCTTGTTTTTAGGTATCTTAGGGTCAAAGGTCAAATGCGCAGCCAGATGTACAGGTTGAGTATTAATCCACTGATGTCCACTCATGATCCAGGAAAGGAA